TCCCCCGGATCGGGAAGGGGGGGGTGTGTGTGTGGGAGGAACAGTTTAAAACCCGGGAGACAAAAGTCGCCCGGCTGTAAAAAAAAGAGGCCGAGGGGGGACCCCCCCGGGCTGCAGAATGAAGTGCGGAGGACCCGGGCTGCGAGGCAGAGGATACCCGGGGTTTCAAGGAATCGCGCAGGGATATTTTCCAGTAGCTTTAGGTCCCGATGCCCCCTCCCCCCAAATGGCGTTGTGGGTACCCCTGTTCTTCTTGTCCGGGGTTGTTTTCCTACACCGCTTCATCCAAAAAGTTAAGGGGAATTAAAAAGGGGGACACCCCCCCTGACCCCTTCCCCCAAACCTCACTAAAAATCACGGGTTTTGATTCAGCTTAAAATTGTCAGACTGCAGCGTCGCTGGTTTGTATTGCCAGGGAGAGAAGTATCACGAATAGATTGAGCAGCCCGGGCAGAGCTCGCGCGACACCCGCATACCGGCAGGCACGCGTCACTGGGAGCGGTGCGTGCGCCCGCAAACCGGGGTGAAGCCCCCCATCCCCCTGAGATCACAGGTGCAGAAGCTTTGTTTAAAATGCCCGTTAAGCTGCTTCTTTTTATTTTCTTGCAAGCTTGGGGGAAAAAAAAAAAGAAAAAAATTGAGTTTCCAGCTGAAAAGCGGAGGGAACGAAGCGCTGGGAGTGTGCAGATGTGTAAAAACATAGCTGTAATATTTTGGAGTATGAGATGGAGCCCAAGTAGCAGCATGGCTAATGACCTCTCCTCCACATGGTACCCTCATCAGAGCCGGGGAGAGAATCCTGCTGCATTATCCAAAACCCGTCTATAGGAAACACACACGCGCACAGGCAGAAGTGGAGGGAGAGAGATGACATTGTCAAGGGGAGATATCTCTATAAAGCCAGCTTTGGGACAGCAGCGGCTTTTGCTTTTATTGGGTTTTTCTGTTGTTGTTGAAGACGGGAGGAAATCTTCCCATTTGACGTGGGGGTGGCGGGGGGTAGTCCCAACCTTCTGATGTTGAAAGGAGCTCTCTCCTAACATTTGCTCAGAATACATCTTTATAAATGTCAGGGAGCAGCGAAACTTTCCAGACTTAAAAGAGGGATTTGAGACAAGGGGGGAAAAAGACTTCTGTGGAAGCTCGCGAGCCGGGGCTGAAAAGGGTGGAGCATGCCTGGCCGCTCATGAAAGTCATTTCAAGCCCAGGAGCAGCAGCATCAGGTCTGGAGGGGACGGGCTCAGCTGCGGTGCCGGGGCTGGGGACAACCCCGCTGCCGGCACCCAGCAGCTGGCTGCGGATGAGGGATGTGTTTGCATGGGTAGCATGTTCGTACCTGCGGGTTGTTATGCCACGAAATACCTGGACTGGGGCATGGTTTTCGTATAATTTTTATGCCTCGCAGCTCTGCCTTCTCTGGGGAGCTTGTATTTAATGAGCTCAGTGAGCGGGGTGTTTGGGAACGAATAGGGAGCCCGGGACCCAGAGGGAAGGAGCTGTTCAAACCGATGGGGCAGTGGCCGGGGTACCTGTGCGGGGCACCTGGAGCAGTAACACGCTCCCGCAGAGGCAAGAGAGCTGTGGGATGGATGTCAGCCCCTTGGGTTGGACAACCGAGGACCACCCTGCATGCCCCTCCAAACCCCCTCCAGCTCCCAGCCTTGATGCCCGTCTCGGGTACCCCCGCACCAGCTGGGACCCGCTAGAGTCCCAGAGAGGCCTCTGGCATCCCTGAGTCATCCACACCTCTCTGCTTAGGGCACATCTGGAGCAGGCACAGCTCTCTAAAAAGCTCTGGTCCCTGCGTCCCCGAGCTCAAGGCTCCTTCTCCCGGGGAGGCTTTGCTGGCGCAGGAGGTACCACCGCGGTCCCAGCTCTGTGCCTCCCCGTAAAGCCCGGCTGGAGGCTGGCGATGTCGGCTCAGCCCATTCGCCCCTCTGAGGAGTAGAGATTATAATGGTGTGCCGTATATTTTTTAATTTCCTAAAGGTAACTGTTCAGTCCCCACCTAATTTTACACAGCATGTGAGGGAGCAGAGCCTGGTGACGGATCAGCTCAGCCGGCGGCTCGTCCGTACCTACCAGCTGTACAGCCGGACCAGTGGGAAACATGTGCAGATCTTGGACAACAAGAAAATCAATGCGATGGCAGAGGATGGGGATGTGCATGGTAAGGACGCGCGGGGCGGGGAGCCGGGGAGGTGTTCGCAGCCCAGCGTGGCGATTGATGATTTCTGTCCTGTTTGTTAGCCAGAAATCATTAAAATCGTTCGGCTTGCGGGAGCTTGTAAAGGGAGAACACAGGGGTCAGTGGCTGCGTGGCTGAAGGTGAGGGCAGGTTCCCCGTGATGAGGGAGGGGACCGGTGCTTGCGGGCTGGGCTCAGCTCCTTGCTTTTTCATTCTTGGTTTGCACCTGACTCGGAGGGCTCGGGGCTGCAGCGTGCTGAGCGGCATCAGGCGTTTCAGCTCGGCTCTCTGCAGGGCTGGGAATCTCTGAGACTGGAGAAGAAATAGAAAGGAAAGTTGAAAAAGAAAAGGCGTGTGTGTGGGGGGAGGGCTGCTTTGGAAGCCTTCCCTAAACTAGAACTGTCCAAAGTGGCGTTTTCCCAACGCAGCCTCCATCCCTCCCTTCCCAAAACAAATCCCGAGCGGAGGGTCGGCGAAGCAGCCGGTTGCGGGTGCCGATGCTGCGGTGGCTCCAGAGACAAAGCAGCGGGACTCTGCAAGCACGAGAGCCTGCACTGCGCCCCGGCCCCTCT